CTCAGTCAGATCTGCTTTGTGTGTCCAGTGCTTGGGCTGACAAGTGTTGTTTTAATATGTCCCGAACTCCCCTGTGCAAGACCACGGGGAAAATAACTGCAGGAATGTTCTTCCTGTCTTCTGGGGAGTGGGAATAATGCGTTCTATTGTAAAATGCCAATGTCTTTATCTGTAAGGGAAAAATTCCTGGGCTTGGTGAATGTAGGGGCAGAGGATCAACACAGGCAAACAGAAATAGAGGGTAGGGTGGTTGTGCTTGAAATCCAGATTCAAATGGCCAAGAGTTAAATTCTGCACTGAGCTACTTTTAGCCAGCTGCTGCCTGCCAGCTGTAGTCCCTGAATGTGCATTCCTGTTACCGCCCCCCGATAGCTGCTTTCTGGCATCCAGTGGCCAGACACTGAGCTCGGGCCCAGGATTTCTGTCTGGGAAACTGACCACCACAGTGAGGCAGATGGTGGGTCTCTGGGCTCACCTGCATTCTGTAAGCTCCCAGTGCTTCTTGATCAGCCGGCAGTTCCTGTGCAGGAGAACTGAGCCCCGCTATTTTCCCCCTTTCACTGTGTGCATGACAGTTGGTTCCAGAGGGCAGGGAAGAAGTTGTGGTGCTGGGTTATAGCTGGAGAGATTGGTCTTTCAGCAGGGAGGCATACCATGCACTCCAGCAGTGTAACCTGCCCTGCACTCAGCTGGGGCTACTAATGATTGGGTTTAAGAAGTGGAGAGAGGGTCTGAGGTGGTGCTGCCACTGCTTGGGTTGTGACCTTACCAGAGGGGAGCACAAAACAGGACACACAGACTCCTAGCATAAGCCCTGGCAAGTCTGCAGTAACCTTCTCTGCTGTGCAGGGCTGTGCAAGCTCCACTGCTTTTACAGCAAGGGCACTGTCCCTTCCAGGGCGTCTAAATGGAAAAGATCTTTGGATCTGATAGCAGTTGCTATGTGCAATAGGCCTATGAGGGGAGAGGCCTTGTTGGCTGTTTCCTCCGTTATTGTTCGTAGACTTTGAAAACAAGCTAGGAGATCTTCCTGTTTTGTACAATTGTGCTTTGAGTCATTCGCCTGTTCCTGTACTGCTTCCATGCCTCCAGACTTTAAATCTAGAATATTAAAGAACTGACTACAAAAGTACAAATATATCTGTTTTTCCCCGAATTGGATTAAAAAAAGAAAATAATCCAGGGTGCCTTTTTTCTTCCTTTCCCCCCAGTCTCCCCCTCCCCCCCTTTTTTTTAATAGAAGGCAGAAAAGGAGAAAGAATAAAAAGATTATTCTTTCTTTGTTTCCTAGCATAGAAGTCCTAGGAATGCCAAGTTTAACCAGTCCCTGCTTTCCTGGTATACTACTTAGAAATACAGATTTGCAGCTTTTTTTCAGTCCTTACTTGGGGAGGTAGGAATACTGAACCATTTATGAGACAGACATCCTCTTAATTGTAATGCATTTATGTGGAATAGCTGCAATCAAAAATAAATGCAATCAATATTGTAAATGAAGTAAAGTCACTTTGCCTGGATTTTGCTTTTATGTTGTCTTCTCAGCAGAAGGATATCCATTCTCAGGTCATCAGCAGGGCCTCCTTGTTGATCAAGCACAACAAAATCACAATTTCAAAAGAAATTTAAAACGAGGGGACCTTGTTAATGAAGCAGTATCAAGGTATGCTAAAATGTTTGAAGTGGAGACCTGCAGTGCAAATTCAAATGTTTCAGAGATGGGCACTTGGGCGACAGGGAGGTGACCTTCCTTGTCCATCAGTACTGAGACAATAGCCTGGTGTGGTATTTTCATTTCTAAGGTTCTTAGGAAATGCAAACTGTTTCATTTGGTGCCATAACAAAAACATAGTTTCCTTGCTATTCTGCTCACTCCTTGGGTGTTCCTAGGCATGTTCCCTCACAGCAGCAATTACCTTCAACAGCAAGTCAATGTTAGGACAGTATTTCGTAGTGACCTGAGCTTCTACTGACACAGATTAGTGACAAAGAGCAGCTTCACTTCTCTGTGCTGGGGAAGCACTCACCGCAGGTCAACAGACAATCTTAGCAGGCTGGCCGCGGCCTGGGGAGAGCAATTTTATAACCTCTCTTTTGAGAGTGGTGAAAACATGAATAGTAAATGCAGATACTCGCCTCAGTCCCATTGTTTGAAGTGAGACATACCTGTGGTACCAGAGGTCAGAGCTCCTCTGGCGCTTTCTCCTGTTCTGTGTTCACATTTGCTTCCCCTGCAGCTTCTAACCCAGGTAATTTCTTTCTGCCTCTCCAAATTCCCCTTGCTGAAGTGTTTCAACCTGTCACATGCTTTTTCATTATCTGTTGCTGCAATAGCCACCTTGCTGTCCAGTGCTGTACAGATCATGAAGAACAAGATGTGATCTTGATATATTGACTTTCTGTGTTTATCACCTAATTCCTTGAAAGAATTTCTTGTCCGGTGAAGAATAAGATGGACTGTGATATCCCACTGCTGAGCACCTTCTTTTTCTAAAGAGAGTTGTTTCAATAACTTACTGACCCTCTGTTTAAGATTTTGTTCAAAACTTACTCTGGCAGTGTACTGTGATATAATTAATGCTCCCTAGCAAATTAGATTTTTTATTTTAAATAGATATTCAAAAAAAAAAAAAAAGCCACCTGGGTATTCTCCCTTTCATATAGCATTTGCTCTACTCTGTTGTTATAGGATGCTTGCTGGATGTGGAACTGCTGTACAGTTAAATCTGTGGGTTGGCTTTCAGCTTGGTGGGCGCAGTGTAAGAATCAACCACCAGTGCTTGGTGGCCTGTATCCTAGAATCTGAACTAGTAAGAACTTCTCTGAGAATAAAAGCAAAGGAACTGCGGCCTTGGTGTCGCTCGTGTGACATGAGATGCTTGTGAGAGATTTGCTTGTGTTGTCTCAGAATGGGTCTGTGGCCCCAGTTCTGATTTATAATGTGTGGAAGAATGACAAAATTTTACCTGGTAGCAGAGAAGGACAGGTAACTGTGGGATCTGTGAGGCTTGCATGCTGGAAAAGTTTGGAAGGCAGGTAAGAATTATTGGTATGATAATAATGGTGTTTTTTCTCTTTTTCTGTCTCTTTTTCCTTCCCCTCCACGGCTTTCCTTCTGCAGCCCCTGGAAACCTTCTTGGGAGCTATCCTCATCCTCTCTTCAAAGGACGAGCCCCTCTGGCTCCCACCCAGACCCCTGAACTGTAGGGAACAACAGGCTGTGTGGATCCTGAAGCCCCCCTGGGGTTGTGTGCGCTCACATGTGTTTCTGACCACACACACTCTAGAATGCACTGAAATGTCTGCCTGCAAACAAGTACACTCAGGAGCATGTAAAGCACATTCGTGAGACTGCAGTGTGGCACTCCAGCACCTCCCACTCCACGGTCTGTTCACCAGAGCTGCCTGCCTCGCTGCATTTCCCTGTTTTGTCTTCTAGGCCTGCCTTTGTGAGGTGCTCTGATACATGGGTGCACTGGTATCACCAGAAACAATATTAGCCTGCTCACAGAATCTGTTTTCCCTTTGGTTTGATGGCTCCCATTAAAGACAGAGATGAAATTGCTGGTGTTTAAGGGTTTTGAGAAGGAGATGTACTGTTTGAAAGATGTGAGGTGTTCTCAAGGCATGGGGAAGGACAATGGACAGTGGGATGGCTGAAGGCTTTGGTAGCAGATGTGTGATGATAGAGCTTTAGGCAGAGATTTGGTGGAATGTATCTCAATGGGCATCTCCTCTAATCAGACCTGAAATTCCACTTCCATGGACTTGCCCTTCTCGTACATGATAAACACCACTTAGTAATGAAGTTACAGTTTCTGAAGCAGATGACAGATCGGTTAATTCATCTGGAATAAGAAAGGGGAAGAACTAGGACTATGTTTCTGTGTTCTCCTGATATAAAAAATTGGGGGCAGGTTTAGGCAGGTAGGGGCCTGAACTCAAGGCTTTCTCAAGGCAGAAATGCCTTTAGCATACCCCTCTTTTCTGACCATGCTGTTCCTGGTGCACTTCTGGATCATCCAGTGAAGCCAGTCCAGGGATCCAGAGAAGGTGGTCTAGAGAAGATGTGTTTTGTGGGCAAAAGTAATGGGAGAATTGTCTCCTTTGATTTGAAAATACCTCTAGGTGGTGGGGGGATGGAGAATGGAAAATGGGTGGATGAGTGAGCGCTGTCTCTGTGTATGTCAGAGCATCCCTCACATTGTAGTCTTCTGGCCAGTTCTTTCCAGACTCTTCGAGGTCTGAAGGGCTATGCGTTCATGGGACTAGTTTGCGTTTGATGGCCCTGCAGCAAGGATGCCCTTTTCCTCTCGTATTACCTTCTATTTTGGGCAGTTCAAAGCAGTGCGAGATGGATGTAAGCACGTTACTGTGCTCCTGGCATCAGTTTCACTGAATGTGAGTTTCAAAATAACAAGACTGCAGCCAGAAGAGCTGCTCCAGTCCTGCGTGGGAGAGGGATTTATTCTGATTCCTTGGCCAGAATACTATCATGAAATCAAAGGGTTTTACTCTGAAAGTCTCTTGTCAGGTGGGGCTAGTGAGTTCTGCATTGGAGAAGCTCACTAAACTCCATGGTTCCCCCATGCTGAGCAAAAATAATACCTTGCACCTTTAATCATTGGAAGATCGTTTAATAAAACACAAATGAATCATCTCAACACTCTCTGTGTATGAGGAGTGACATTTATCTCCATTTTTTCTTTCTTATACAAACACTGAGATTAAATGACTTGCCCAGAGTTGCTTTCAGAGCTGGGAATGGAATCGGTGAGACAGAAATCACAGACCATCCTTTTAACTGGGAGATCTCATTGTAACGAATATATCTTGCCTTTGTAAACATACTGTGTGCTACTTTTCCAAGCCAACCTGTCCCTAGTGCAGGGAGGAAAAAAAAAAGCCCAACCATTTTAATCCTTTGTGGTCAAAGTGTTGTCCATAAGCAGAGGGAAGCAATAGTTTTTTGGATTCCTTTCCATTTCGGGCACACTTGCATGCTCGGCAGGCAGCGTTAGGCACAAGCAGCAGGCACCTCAAAGGAGATGTCTGTGTTACTGGGGAGGGTGAGGTTCCAGGGCAGGCAGAACATACTCCTGCTGTGGGAGGAGCACAGGGAAGTCAAGCTGTGTTTGAGCAGGTAGAGGTTGCTATCCTAACCCAGAAGCACCTTGGGCTGCTTTTCTGAGGGTGCCCCTCACTCTTCCACCACTCCCTCCCAGCAGTATCTTTCTTGCTCTGAGCATGCCTGGTTTTGAGAGAAGAGAGCACCTGTCAACCTATGCAGTCCTATAGTTGTCCACCTGCTTCCAGGGATGCAGGTTAGCACACACTCAAGGCCATGTGTCATGTTGTCCCATTCATAAGTGGCACAAAGCCATGCGCCTACACCTCATCTTTGCAGTGCTTTGCTCTGCAGAACAAGCTAGTAAGGAATAATCCTTATGCTCAAGGGAGTGTCTGGTATTTATTTAGGAATACCTAACCCTGTCTGGGCCTCCTGGCTACATTTTAACTGCCTTGTGCTTGAGTGTCCTTACTGCCTGTGGAGACAGAATTTGAACATTAGGCCAACCCCCTCCTGCTTCTGCCTTTCCCTAGATTGAATGCCCATTAGCTTGCTTCAGCTCAGAGATGAGATAAGAATTAGTTCACCAGCAATTTGAATAATCAGAGTTTAATATGTCAGTATAGGTGCAGCTATTTCGCCTTGCTTGCAAGAACTCTGGGTCTGCAACTAATTGCAAAAAATATTGTGTTATGGGGAAGACCATTACCTCTCTCAAAGTTAGAAGGACTTGCCTGCTTCTACCTTGGAGAAATTAATTACGGCCGAAGAAAAGTTTTCTGCAGTGCCTGGCCCAGACAATGTCAAAATGGTTGTCTTTAGACTCAGTGCTTTATAAACCTGTGCATTATAAGAAACGGAAATGTGTCTTCTGCTGTCTCATCCTGAAAAATAAGTGCCTGGCATACCTCAAAATGGGTCCCATTGTAGTAAGGGCAAAAGACGAGAGAGCAAGCAAGGGCAAAAGAATGATACCTAGCTCGAAAAGCTTTTGTCATGGTCCATGACTTGGGTATATTCAAGGTGTGAATGACAGCTATTTTCCTTCTTTTCACACAACACTTCCGCGTGAAGAACTGAAGAAAACTCCTAACCTCAACACTTTTTCTCTCTCATGGGTAGGAAATGGTTTATATAGGGACATAAAAGGGATGGGAGAGACCCCTTTACACATTTATCTAAGTAGATGTGAAAATGCATTTTTTCAAGTTATAGGCTGTACCCATAGGTGCAGTGGATCCCTGAGGGGTAGTTCAGTGGCTTACTTGTTAGCGAGAGGCAGAGAGGCTGTGCAGAACTTGCCAGTGATGGCTGACTCATCCTTCCTCCAAAATCGATCCCTGGGGAGATACTTCAGTGTCACATTGTTTATCTGGCAGAAAGGAACTCTGTGGGCCAGAAGCCGTTTGCCTATAGTCTGCTGCTTCTGTCTGCAAAGCAGAATGAGAGTTGTGAGGGAGAGCATTTAATCAAACTGTAGAGGGAGTCCATGAAGACAGTGGGATTCAGCTTTGTTAAAAGTCTGGAGGAACCAGCAGATATTAATGTGAACCCCTCACATAACAAGATGAGTGGGAAGGTTCAGCTGTCAAAATCAAGGCATTGCATGAGAATATGGGATCTAATATGTTATTTCTTTCCCCCTCTCATTTCATCTCTGTAATCAGGAATATATGCATAAAAATATCCTTTCTTCTGTCACACAACTGCAACAGCTCTACCTGCTATTGTGTATAGACTGCAACACTGCCCAGTTTGCTCTAGAGAGGTAAGTGGTAGAGATGTTCAGCATCTATGAAGTCTTGAATCCCACAGATAGGGATTGATTGTTCGGCATTTCTTTCAGTACAAGAACTGGAGGTCATCACAGGAAGATAACAAGCATCAGGTTAAAACTGGCAGGCACACTGCACAAGGTACTGTTCCATTCAAGCTGTAAAAATCTTGCCTGCAGGATGTTGCAGATGCTAAAAAACTTAAGTGAGCTCAATGGAGAAGGGCCGGACAAGCACACGAAAGATAAAAGCCAATGGTAGTTATTAAAGACCAAGATTTCACCTTCGGCTTTGAAAATCTCAGAGATGTAATTATTTAGACATTGGGAAAATACTTGGGAGAAGTATTGCTACATGTTTACGTTGCCTTTTTATACTCTTATTGAGGCATTTGCTTTTCACAAAACCACAGAATGGTTGAGGTTAGAAGGGACCTCAAGAGATCATCTAGTCCAACCCCCCTTGACCATGTCGACAATGGGATCCTTACCGAGAGGGACCTTTGTCTGTCCCTATGCCCTTCTCATGAACTGATAAGTGCCAGATGTGGAGTATGCAGGTAATGATCAGAGCGGAGTGGCAGACCTTGTGCTACACAGCAGCACTGCCCAGCTTTTTTACCTAAGTCAACTGCCTCCCTTAAAGGGAGTGCATCCTCTTGGCCTCCTCATGTCTGTTCACTGGGCATTTCCAGGAGCCCAGTGTTACACAGGAACGTCAACATCCCCGTGCTCGTAAAGAATAGCTGACTCAGCACAGTCCCCAAAGTGCCTGGCTCACTTTGCTTGTTATCAGGAATGGGACAGAAAAAGGGATGAAGTGAGAAAAGGGTCTAAAACAGGCTACAACTCTGCTAGCTAGAATTGCTCCAGGGAGCAGGCCAAGGGCTGAATTCCAAGTCCTTCTAGGCCACAGAGACTAACCCAAATGATAGCAACCAGTCCTTCCTTAGACTGGACTGGTAGGTCAGGGACAATACATATGTTTGTGTCTGTCTTGGAGCTACCAGAAATAGGAAACATCAAATTATGTCTCAAAAAGGTGAATAATGGACAATGAATGTAAAACTGAGGAGACGCTTTCTCATATGCATGTCTCCATCAGCAGGATACAGTCCTACTTGAGGACAGAGGGCCATAATAAGGTTAAGTGGGTTGCTGAAATTTACTCCTAGGATTAACATTTGGTCCAAATCTACAAAACCTTTGGATGTAGGACTCTGGATAACTGAACAGACCTCCAGAAATATGTTTTATTAGATATGGGGGATAAAACTGTCTTGCAGTGGGGAAGTGTGTTATGTAATAAACTACTTGCTCTGTCAGTCCCGTGGCAACCTGTCTCTTGTGGGACTCAGAATAGCCTGTGTGGAGTAGTGGCCTCCCAAGGAGTGAGATCATAAGTGGTGTTGGAGAAATGAGAAAATGGCAGTGAGGCAGGAGACAACCATGCAAGTCACCAGCTGAAGGTAGGAGATGAATGTTCCCAAGTCCCTGTGCAATTCCTGGGAGCTGCAGGCTGAAATGCAAGTCAGATCTGCTGAAATGATAGCAGTGATTAATCAGCACCTAAATCACGATGTAAGGAGATAAGTTTAGATGCCTGTTTGACAGTGTGTGGTTCACTGCACTGAATGATTTGGCCACTCCTGGAGAGAGAATTTTATTTGCTGTTAGCTATAATGTGAATTAAAAGGGTTGTCTCAAAGTACAGTGCCTCGAATCTTTAGACTTTTGATATTTAGGAGAGAGGCTTAAATGAAGCACATAGGTTTGCTGTTGTCCTAAGCTAAGGGTGTCTTCTGCTCAGGTTACCCTCCTCTAACTCTGCTGTCACATTCTTTCTGGTACAGTAAAGCCTTGGCATTGACAGCCTGTGCATTTCCCCAGGCAGCCTTTCTCTCTGGAGCTGAA